GGCCTCATCTACTGGACGTTCCTCAACTATGTTTTAACTCTCAAAAGAGGTTTTCCACTATTAAGTCTCTTTAAACTTGTGACAGATTAACAACCTACACTTGTTCATACGATGGATGAGATTGGTTAAGGGAGGTGACCTCGTGCTTCTAATTTTTTGAGGGAGTTGAAGCAGAATAATTATATTGCCAAGGCATGCTTGGAGAAAGCATCGAAACATATGAAGAAATATGATAATAGTAATAGAATGGACATGCAGTTTCAAGTTGAGGATTTAGTATTTGTTAAGTTGATGCTAGATCAACTTAGATTTTGACAAAAGATGGATCATCGCTAGGTTCGCAAGTACGAATGACCTATCATGATTGTTACAAAGGCGGGAAATGCTTCTTATAAGATCGTCTCTCTTGCTTGGATGAAAGTGCACCTAACTTGAAGACATTCCATGGTGACTGTAGTGATGCCAATTGAAGTCAAACACATAGGGAGTTGATTTGTATACAACCATTTTTACAGTTTTATGTTGATGAGATTCTTGCTGATAGAGTGGTGATAGTAAAAAAAGCTAAGATTGAAGTATCTGGCCAAATGGACATACCTAGATCGTAAAGAATAGAGTTGGAAGAGAGAGTACGACATCGGGGTATTCAAGAAAAAGATCGAGGAGTTTTAAGCTGTGTGGTTGAATGAGGACATCATAAAATTAGGTGGGGAAAATGTCGTGACCATCTCTTATAAGGGGCCACAAATGGGTAGGTATGCTAAAACTAATTATGTATAGGGTTCATTGATAGGGTAGAATAAGTTTATCCTTTTTTTCAACCATTTTATTATTTTTAGGTAGGGAACTTGGATAAGGTAGATGTACCTAATTTGAGCGTTTTGCTGTCTACCCATAGCATTTCTATTATTTTAGTTTTTTTTATATATGTAGGGATGGACAATCGATAAAGTTTGGACTGCTCCATTAGTAAATGTGCGTGCCATCAAACAAGGGCGTACTCGTATGGATAAAGAGAAAGTGAGGGTCATCCAATAGTGGAAAACTCCATAGAATATCAGTGAGCATAGATCTTTTCTCGGCTTGGCCAATTATTATTGGTGATTTATGGAGGGATACTCCCATAGGGTGAAGTCGCTCACTGATTTGTTGAATAAAGGTAAGGTGTGGGCCTAGTTAAAGGAATGTTCAGAGGCCTTTAACGAGTTGAAAAAAGTGGTGATTAGTGAACTGGTTCTTGCATTACCAGATTTAAAAAGGCCTTTGAAAGTTGATACATACACTTCATATTAAGCGATTCAAGGGGTACTTTTATAGGATGTTCACCCCATGGCATTTGAGAGTAAGAAGCTTAAGGAGGCAAAAGTGAAATATAATTCACCTGGGAAAGAGCTCTTAGTAGTAATTCATTCTTTGAGGATTTGAATACACTACTTATTATGTTCCAGGTTAATAGTAAAGACGGATAATACTTCTGTTAGTCACTTTTTATCGCAACCTAATCTTACAACGAAGCAAGATAGATGGAAGGAGTTTTTAGTGGAGTTTGATTTTAACTTTGAGTATAAGGTTAAGAAGAAAAATCAGGTGGCTGATGCATTAAGTTAAAAGGCAGATCTTGTAGCACTCAGATGTTTAGCTCCCATATATGCTAGTAGGGTTTTTAACGAAATCTATTAGATTATTGTAAATTGTTCAAAGAATGGTACATAACTGCACTCATGGAATTGATTGAGAAAGGCCATTCATTCGAAGTGTTTTTCTGAGAATGGTTTGTTGATAAAAAAAGGGTCGCGAATGTTTATTCCTCGAGCAATGAAACTTCGATAGAAATTACTAAAGGAATGTCATGACACCCTGTGGGTTGGACATCCAGGTTGGAAGTGCACATTTGCTTTATTAATAAAGGGTATTATTGGCCCAAATGTGTTAAGATGTAATGAAATACACTAAGACATGTCTTATATATCAACAAGATAAGATGGATTAACAGAAGACAGTTGGGTTATTAGAATCATTACCAGTGCTTGCTCGACCTTGAGAGAGTATCTTCTTGGATTTTATTGCGAATTTGCCTCGAGTATGATAATTTAGGTCCATACTGGTGGTAGTAGACAAGTTCTTAAAGTATGTAACTTTTATCCCAACACCTAAATATTGTTTTGTAGAGGAGACAACTCAATTGGTATTTAAACATGTGGTGAAATATTAGGGTATTCCAAAGAGCATAGTCAGTGATAGAAATGGGAGATTCATCGGGAAATTTTGGAAGAGATTGTTCAAGTTGTTGGGAACCCAACTTAATTTCTCATCAAGTTACCATCCCAAAACAAATGGTCAGATAGAGCATTTTAATGGGCTATTGGAGTAATATTTGAGGCATTTCCTTCAAGCTAATTAGAAAGACCGGCCTCCACTATTGGACGTTGCTCAACTATGTTTCAATTCTTATAAGAGTTTTTCTACTAATAAAAGTCTCTTTGAACTTTTGACAGTTCAATAGTCGAGACTTTCTCATATGGTGGATGAGACTAGTCATGAGAGGTGCCCCCGTGCTTCTAATTTTGTGAGAGAGTAGAAGCAAAATGCTGAAATTGTCAACGTATACTTGGAGAAAGCTACGGAACATATGAAGAAATGTGCTAACAACAATAGAAGGGATATGTAGTTTCAAGTTGGGGATTTAGTACTTGTTAAGTTGATGGCAGAGCAACTTTGATTTTTGTGAAAGATGGATCATCTCTTGGTTCACAAGTACAAATGACATATTGCAATTATGGAAAAGGCAAGAAATGCTTCTTATAATATCAACCCTTATGCTTGGATAAAAGTTCACCTAACTTGAAGTCGTTCCATGGTGACCCTAGTGATGCCAATTAATGTCAAACACCCAGGGAATCGATTTGTGCACAACCACCTTCACAACGTTATGTTGATGAAATTCTTGCTAATAGAGTGGTGATGGTGGACAAAAATCTAAGACGAGAGTATCTGGCCAAATGGGGAGGCCTAGATCCTGGAGTGTAGAGTTAGGAGAGAGTGTATGAGCTCAAGGTATTCAAGCACAAGATTAAGGAGTTTTAAGCTATGCGCTCGATGAGGGCTTCGACAAATTAGGTGGGGAGAATGTCATGGGCGTCTCCTATATGGGGCCACAACCGGGTAGGTATGACATGACCAATCATGTATGGGGCTCATTGGCAAGGTAGAATAAGTTCGTCCTCTTTTCAATCATTTTATTTTTTTAAGTAGGCATCTTGGTTAAGGTATATGTCCCCAATTCGAACATTTTAGTGTCTACCCATAACATTTTTTTATTTTATTTTTGCTAAATATTGGGTGGACAACCGGTAGAGTTTGAACCGCTCCACTGGTAAAGGTACGTGTCTTGGGTACACCATCTAAGGCTGCTCCTACAGCCTAGTCTGGTGTGGGTGACTCTTCTACAACCCAATGTTATTCCATAAATAATACATCCCACTGAAGAAGTCTGAAGTCGACTGGGTGCATCTGTTATGTCCCACGATCTTGACCCTTGGCTTGAGGAGCTTTGTTGTGGCGATGATCTAACTCAATGTGTGCTTGTGTTTTGATATGAGTGCTTGTGTTTTGATAAGATATAGGAGATAAATGCCAACCTAATGGAGAAAGTGTTTCTTTTCAAGTGCCGCACAGATTAACAACCGAACTAATTAGGCTATGTCCGTGACACAAGACACGCCACATATAATGCCTTAAAGATAAAATATAAAAATCAACTACTCTTATTTTGTTCCTAGTTGTCTGCCCTTTCCACCAAAGCATACCATATGTTTTTTTAATAATATCATTATGTTTTTTAATTTATCTATTTAATAGTGGACATAATTAATTTTGAAATAATAAAATATTAATTTAAATAATATTTACCTTTTAAAATTATAACATTTTATAATAATTTAGGATAATATAGAGACTTTAAATTGATTATAAACTTAATATATATATCTTTTAAAATTAAATAAGATAATGGTTATTAATACTAAAATAATCAAATATAAATTAATATGTGACGAATTTTGATGAAAGGGCAAGAGAACTAGATATTGAATAGGGAAAGACGATTTTCATCCCAAGGTAAGTGTTTCTCATATTCTTTTGTCCAGTTTTGTGGACAAATTATCATTCCACGTGACAACTATCTATAGTTGTCTTATATTCACGTGTGTTGACTCTTGAACGTGCAATCGTCAGTTTATTATAATTTAACCCTCTTTATTGAAATGCTTTGGAAACTAATAGATCTTGATTTTTTTAGGAGGGGACAAGCAATGGTGAATCAGTAGACAATAGGTGTGGCTCATAATTGATTTAAAAGTTTCTTAGTACAAAAAGTATGCCTCCCCTATGAAAGGAGCACGTCTTGGCCTTTCGCTTAAGCTCTAGAGACTCTTTACACTTGGGTGAGCCTTACCCCTTCTAAAACTAAGTTCCAAACTAATGTTGTTGATGGTAATTAAGGTTTTATAGTACTTGTTAATTTCCTTTTAAATGTCCCAAACAACCAAATGAAGAATTTACATTACCAAGTTCATTCGTAGCATTTGATGATCGCCACAATAGTCAAACAATTACGAGTATATATAACAACTAATAAGGATTTATTAGCCTAATATTTGATCATTGTATTTTTCTTTTATTTCCAAATGTGTAAGACTAAAAGTTGGGAGCTCATATCAGGCTTGCAATGTGATGAGACAAAAATGAAATGCAAATTGATGCAGGATTAGATTGTGGGCGAAAAGAATAGATTATCGTGAATAGATGCGTATCTATTAACTCACAGAAACCAAGGAGTTGGAGCATATTTTTCACCTATCGAAATCCACTGATCCATCTAAATTTGAGAAAGGAGGTGGTACGATTTGCTACTTGTTCATAATTTAAGAATGTTGTTGTAAATTGCCTTCAGAAAGTTACTGATTGAATGTTTTAATAAGAACATATTGTGTCAGCTTAGTGTTTTGCATGAACCAAATTAAAATGGTCAACTAATTATTTAGGAAATCATTCAAGTTACCCCTAACAATAAAATCCATTGTTTTTAAACAATGGAATTGATTAAACTACAAAGAAAAGCCTCTTAAATTCTCATCTCTTTCCTGGTACCAAAAATATTCGACTTCTGTTGATCAGATGTAAATGGAGCATTCTGAAGAGTCAGCAGCATGGTCTCAGATTGAGTTCAGACAATTGAACTTCAGGCGCTAATGACACCGGATACCCAAGGAACGAAAACAGGCACATTCGGGTGGCTATTTCTATATTCTTCAGAGTATCTGTCCTTAAAGTTCAAAGACGGCTTCTCCGACTGCAATTCAGTTTTTTTTTTTATTAGCTTTGAGTTGCAAATAACTTCCGTTGGAAGTAAATGTGCCAAGAAATGGCAACTTAATGGATTGAACACTTACGTATTTCAGCCAGCAGACCATGTGTTTGTGTTCATATTTATCTGGGGAATAGCAACCGGACTCGGACGGACAATAAACCCATATGTTGCATTTCTTTTGATCTGGCTTCGCGGATTTCGCCTGATCTAGGCAAGCCTGGCAGCAATCAGCTGCACTTTCTTGGAGGTTTGAAAGACCCCATCGAACACAATCACCTTCATAATCGGTATGAATTTCAGGATTGCATTCTGGTGGCAGAGGCCTCCCTGCTAAAATTTGTTCTTCATCTTCTGTACATGAGAATCAGACCTCATTGACAACCATTTCTAATCATAATATTAACTTATAATATGTATGTTATTTTGTCCAATGATCCTCCAATTATATGAATAAAGAAAAACTTTGAAAAAAAACTTGAGCATACCCTTGTTGGATTGGATACAATCATTTTCCAACAGTCACTCCTGTGTTAGAGTAATGTAGATATTGACAACAGAAATTTATGGTTTTGATCAACAGGAGAAATTGAGCAATTACCGGTATCTTCCACACCCTCAGGCTTATCATTGTGTTCTTGATTCTCAATTGCAGTGGGTATCCAAAGGCCAATCTCTTCTGACAGCGCAGCCCAATCAGACTCCAAGACTTTTACTAAATTCCCTGCAAAACAGTATGTTTAAAGTTCTGCGACAAGTAAAAACCGTTAAAGCTTTTTATCTCAATAATTAACTAAAAGTAACAAAATACACCACCTTTTCGGATTATCAGTTACCTGCTTCCTCTTGAAGAATAGTTGAATTCAATCCCTTTCCTCCATCGGCTAACTTTTTGGCTTCTTTAAGTTTCTCGTGGCGCAAGGTTTGAACCGCTTCTGTAAACCCAAGATGAAAATCAACAAAATAACTAGCACACATGGGACAGACGATACTGCTAATTACTTCAAAAGAACAGCAAACACTTCAACAGCAACTCTAACCCAATGGTTGAAATGAGTATCTGTTACCATTAAGGAGTCTTAAGAAATAAGTTACAAGTCAAAACCAAAAGCATAGTATAAAAGGTTGGTCCTTTATAGGCCAAAAGAAATGGAAGAAAAGTGCAGCTACCAGTGACTCTCCAAAAGCACCAGAAACAACCATGCAATGATTCTGCTAAGTAATGATTATATCTATAGTTAGAATTTGGTTGTTTAAAGTTAGTGGTAGTTAGAAAAAACTATGGAACCAAAAAACAGAATGTTTTTCTTTAACAAGTTTTGGTTAGAAATATATCCTCCTAACTGGCATGTTGAAACTTTTCTTCAATCAATAATCACAAAGCATAATACACTTTTTCAGTGATTGAAAAAATATGAATTGAGAATTAGAGAATAGCCTTAAGCAACTTAAACATAGAAACACTAGAGAATTGATCTATCCCATTTATGGTTATTGATTGCATTATAAAGTGCGTCCACCCTTAGCCTATTGGATGAAGTAGATCAATATTTTATAATGCTTGGCAAAATGAAAAAAGAGGAGGTGAAAGCAACCAAAATTAAACAACATGAATCCTAGAGCCTATACGTACTTAAGTACTGAACTCTCCTATTTTTATGAATTACTTTTGAAGTATTCTGCTTAGGAGAAGATCAAAAACACACATGGATGACAGGAACAATGTTTCAAAATGGGTTTCTCTATAATTATCAGAGATTCCCGTTTGCCTTTGGAAAGATCAATAATGTGATCGCTAAGAAACTCATGTTCCAGTAGTCATACTCTTAGTACCGAAAGACAGAAGAATTCAAACCCATATTGTCTGCACTAAAATTGCAATGTCTTTATTGCATTTAATATACACCACCGCACCCTCCATGCTAAACCAGCTTATAAGTCGTCTGCAAGTTTCCACAATAAGAATGTAGTTCAGACTGATTATTCATGAATAAATTATTAATGGACTTGTAAACTTCGTGGTTGTCGGACGCTTATACAAAGATTGTAACCTTCAACGTACAGCAAATAGTCCTACCCCTAAACATCATAAATGCTCAATCCATGTAAAACTATACCACAATAGAACACTTAAATAAGAATAAACAGAAACGCAACACCATGTTCACTTTAAACATTAAGATAAGTTACCGAAACAGTTGAAAAAAAAGGAAAAGGAAATTAAGGCGGACACCGACCTTGCTGCTCGCTGGCAGTAGCATTTGGTGTCAAGTTTCTCAATCTTTGCAGTATCTCCTCGGTTATCTTATTCTTAACTGCTTGTGGCAGCTTAGCTACAGGCATTGATTCTCCACCCCAAAGTTCAGGCTTCAAACTCTTTACCTTTATTTACAGATATCAACATTCAATACTAACACCACAAACAGGGGGGAGTTATAAATAAATTAAAAAAAAAAAGCAGGAACAATAGCATAATTGCATACCAATTTAATAAGTTCTATAGGTTCATTGGCTCTTCGAATCCTAAGTGATTTTTCCATTTTCCTTATATGATCTGGTGTATGTTTTACAACTACATAAAAAAAACACAAATCAAGAGAAAAATTCCTAAAAAATCCAAAAAAAAAAAAAATGAAGGCAAAGCTTAGAGAAACTCACCACCATCATCTTTGTTGGAATAAATGTAGAGAGAAGAATAGAGAGAATGTAGACAATAGAGAACAATAATGATGTTAAAGGAGAAAACGATCAGAGTGATTCTTTTATACGAACACTGACCCGAACCACCCCAATTCAGTCCTCTTCCTTCTCTAGCCATCTCCCACCTCCTTCGCCCACTGCTTCATCCCACCATATTATTTTTCTTCCCCACAAACAATTGGATCAAATGGGTTTCACCAGATCGTAATATTAAACCGAAATTCACTTTTATTCTACCAATCCAAGTAAAAATGGAGGGAGCAACCGCTCCGGTGCACTGTTGTTCTGGACCTTCTGGTTTTTCTCTTTTCTCAGTTCTATTAGCTAGGCACACCGGAACACTTATTTTGCCTGGTTTTTCTATTTATTTTGTTTAGGATCACTATTTGGTGTAAATACAACTTAGATCCCTGTTATTGTTGAAAAATACCAAATTAATGTCTCTAGAAACTATAGGTTCAATATCTTATTTGCCTCATGTTACTACATCTACATCGGAGTCATCAGTTTGATGCCTATAAAATTCTTTGGCAAAATTGACCCAATCTCGTAAGCGACTAATTATTTAGCCCAATATCGCATAAAACAAATTACTTAGGAATTTACAATTTATTATAATGATTTGAAACTCGTCGTCGAGATAATGATTTTTAATAAAATATATTTTTATTTAAAATTTTCACCTGATATGATAAATTCAAATAAAAAATTATATTTTATTAAAAATCATCATTTCGAAGAGTTTGAATAAAAAATATTATTTAGATAAACTTATCACGTCAGCGTGATGAATTTACCTTGCCCTGTAACATTTGTCATAGATTGTAAAATAAATTTTGAACTAGTCTATTGAGTCAATTAATTTTCCGCCTAGTTTAATGAGAGATAAAACCCAATTCATTTACCAATTTAGCCCTTTGGAGTTTGGCCTTTACTATTATTCTTCATACTCGTTTTCATAGAGCATTTTTCTGTTAAAAAGGCTAACGTAACAAAATGACATGATGCCATGTATATTAAAAAAATAAAAAGAAACTATACATTGTTAAAATTAGATAATTTTAAAAAAATAAAAAATGAAAAATTCCTATAAGTGCTTGAAAATTCAAATTTTATTAATTTTAATTTAAAAATTGAGCATAATTATAATTTTAGAAATAAATGTAGATTCAAAACATAATTTTTTAAAACTTAAAGATTTTTTTACATTATATATGATTTTTTGAATTCCTTTTATATTTATGATTATAACGACCAAATAAATTATAGTACGGGGGGCATAATAGCTATTAAGTAAAAGAAATATATTTAGGCTTTGTATTCTCAAAATAATAATAATAATAATAATAATAATAATAATAATAATAATAATAATAAAGATTTAGTGTCTAATGCGGTAATAAGAAAAAGTGAAACCAACGATAAATTGGTCTACTGAGATGATGCATTAGATCCCCTAAGTAAAGTCAGTGGTTCGAATCTTAACCTTTGTGAATGGAGTAAATTGGGTTGGGAAGATTATACTCACCTCTGCAGTATCCGATCTGGATTAATCCATCAATAGATTGAATACCAATAATTAATAAAAAAAGTGGAAATAATTAAATGAGGCAAATGTATCTTTATTTTCCATGACCAAATAAAATGTGAAAAAGAAATACACACACCAAATTGGAGAACCAATGTTCATCAACCTTCCGGTTTTACTTCAAATTCTTTACGCTACAAAATCAATTTTTTTAATAATCGAAGTAATTATAAGATAATATTTATTCAATTTTTTAAGTGAATGCACATACATTATGTAAAAATAGTTATTCGAACTTAAAACTTTTAGAAAGAACAACACTCATTTTAATCAGTATGATTGCTCGATGAATTCTTAGGCTCCAAAGACTAAATCCAAATATTTATGTCAAAATATAAATTATAAATAATATCAACCATACGATATGTATATTATATTTATAATAATATAATAAAAATTTAAATTGCTTTTGTGGTTGCGTTTCAACCTTTGTTTTTAAAGGTTAGGAGTTTAAATCTCCCTACACATTATATTTTATCGAATTTCCTTAAATAAGTCACCTCATTATTCATGTGGTTAGTGATTTAACGATGGAGTGAAATAATTGAAACAAAAATTAAAATTTAAGGTTATAATTGTTAAAATTAAAAATTCTGGAGTAATTTTTTCAAATAAAACATACTTTATATATATATATATATTATATACAATAAAAATATCTATTATATCTATAACTAATTATATACTTAATATACATTATGTTATTTTTTTTCATATTTTCATGTTACCAGGAAGCTATTTCATAGACGAGCCGTTTATTTTTTCTTCTCGTGAATTATATTTTTATATCAATAGGGACAAAATTTCTTAAACTCCAATCAACTAAGTGTATTGTATCGATATTTTTAAGTAATATACATGAAAATACATGTTTATTCCTTATTAACATTAACGCCGTTACAAATATAACTCATACATTCTAATAATCGTTACTCAAACATCTTTATTTTTTACCATGAACCTACTTTGAGTGTTTAATTCACTCTAACTACAAGGGCATCAGATAAAATTGGAATGATACAGAGAAGATTAACATTGTCCCTGTGTAAGGATGACACGCACAAATCGAGAAGCAAGTCTAGAGTATCAGTAATGGCATCCGTCTGATTAATTTGATTTTTCTAGTTGGTATATATATATATTATTAGTATTCGGTATAAACCTTTCTTAGACATAGTTGTAATAAGTTAGCTTATGACAGTAATAATGGATATTCGTTAGAGCGTGGGATAAATAGTCTTATTAATGTATGTTTAGTTATAAAATAATGAATTGTAGTTCAATTGGTAGAACTAGATTAAATCAGTACTCGAATTAATTTTAGTTTAAGCAGTTTTTAGGCAGTTATAATGTACACTTTGTAGTTATGAACTACTAGATTTCTATCTAAAAATAAACTTAGATTGAATATCGAGTAATTAGAAATGTGTTTTATATGTTTAAATGAATTATAGTTTATTATTCAGCAATAATAGTTTTAATAAAATAAATTTTTACTGGTTTTTAACAAAGAATGTTTTGTAAGTTTCATGTGATATCTTTAATTTGTGTTCGGTGATGCATACAGAAAGAGGGCTTTACATTTATTCTATTTTTGATCGAAAACTAAAAAGAAATGAATGAAAAGTAAAAGTTACTAACTCAACCAAATCCATAGAAAAAGATTCATAAAAAAATATTGTTATTCAAATTAAATAAATTCGTTGAAATTATATTTGATAAAAATATTTCTTATTTATATAGTTATTTATATAATATTGTTTTTTACATCATCTTGAAACATATATTAATAGATTTTTTATAAATTCTAAATATATTTCTAATTCTATCTACAGGTGAGGTGAAGAAAAGTGAATACTTTTGCCTCTTAGTGAGTCTAGAATCCATAACCTAAAGGAATATAAGAGAACAAATATGAGCAGTTTGACCAACCAGTCAAATATATTTTCTCAACATGAATTTTTTTTGAAATTATAAAACCATTACTAGATTTGTGGTGAGGTCAAATGTGTATTATATGTGAGGCCAAAGTGAATATATTATAAAGAAGGTTTATGTAATGACCTAAATCTCATATTAGAAGTTTTGGACTAACCCTACATGGTTTTGGATAAACCCAATAGCCTTATGGGAAAGTTAGGACCAAGTTTATTTTCAATTAGGCTTGGTTTGATTCCAAATAGACCTAAAAATGGCATTTTTAATCTTGGAGCAATAAAGAAGGGTCAAGAAAGTAATTATCTCATTTTTTGGCCCCAAAGGCTGATTTCTTTAATTGCTTAATTGCTGGTAATATAATTAGCTGAGCTACCTTCCCTTCTTATTTTTTTCATCTTTTTGTCTTTAACCTCTTTTCTCTCTATTTTATTCTTCCTCTTCAACTATAAACCAACAAAGGTGATAGCTTTGTGGTCATGCAAGTCTAGTACGAAAACACCAAGATAAGAGTTGTAATCTCTAGGGGCGGAACATCATGGGGGCTTAGCCCTCGCAAATAATTTTTTAAGTATTAATTAATATTAAAATATATTTATTTTAAAAAATAAATAAAGAAAAATTTATCAGGCCCCTTCAACTAAAATAATTTATTTATGAAAAATAAAAAATATTTTAAACCCTCCATAATAAATTTCTAGTTCCGTCCCTGGTAATCTCCTCATCCTAAATTTCATTTTAAGCTCCTAAAATCAAGTTTTGGCTATAGTAGCTATAACTGAGGGTTTTAGTGGGAGGTTTAGAAAACTATAAGTTTTCAACTTTTTTTTATATATTGATTCAAGCTTTTGGAAGTGTTTTTAACTCCACTCTAAGTTCCTAAATGAGTTAGTAATTCATTTTCCTTGTCTATGATTAACCAAAGAGCTTGGAGAAAGTTCTAAGACCAAAGGAAAAGAGAAGTTGATTTTTGGTTGAGTGAGAACATTTATTCTAGCCTCCTGATAGTAAGCCAATACATTTTAACATTTCTATACCACTTTTGATTCATTAGATGTATTAGTTAGCTTGTAACACCCTAATTCGTACCCGACCCGGATACGAGTCTGAGGTGTCACATTGACTTTTCAAAACAATTACTTTTTCAAAAGAAGGACATTTCTAGCTTTTATTAAATCAAAATGCATAAGTTAAACAATTTAACTCAAGGAGTTTGCAAAACTTATCATAGCAATAGAATTCCAATCCTTTAACTACATGCCAACTAGATTCTATATGACAAATTACTTATTATTCATTTTTTCTTCTGATCTGACCTTCGATAAGGAGAAGATGACATGTCTTGCTCCTCTTCTCTTCTCGATTTTCGGAACCTATGTGTAAGACACTTACACGCTAAGTCATAGACTTAGTGAGACATGTAAATACATATGCAACTAATAATGCATGTACATATCATATAATACACATCCTACTTACATACATAATTAAACCATTACAAACATGCTTATCATCACTTATTTTATTATCACTAATTCCTTCCTATCATATGAGCATATACTTAACATGAACATATTATATAATCTCTAAGCCACCTCAATACATGAACAATTATTATGATCATATCATGCACAAACACATAGCTTCGCATATCACAATTACACATATGCACTTGTTATTATTATTATTATATGATCCTAACTTATCACTTATACATGTCATATATCACATATACCATTTAACGAGAAACACACATATCATCATATCAAATTATTTATTCTTTTTAAAGCCCATGCAAACTTTTGAGAACTTAAGGTATGTGAGTACATAGAGGTTGTGCACATATGTTGTCACCACAGCTCGTATAATTCCCACTAGGGGCGCGTAGAATTTGTCCCATAGGACCACTATGTCCCGAAGGACCACATTGAACACATATGTCCCGAAGGACCACGTAGAACCCTCGACTCTTGGCATGCCAACTATACCCCTAGCTCTCATACACATAACATGGGCATTATTACTATATTATCACATTTTCACATATTCATATCATATACACATATAAGCTCAAGGCTTCTTATCACATATATCGTGTAATACTCACTTGGAGTTTCATATATTCTTATCACATATCTCATATCACAAGTTCTTGTATTTATATAACATGACATCACGTAGCTCATATCACGTTTTCATATGATTTCACATTCACATATCACTTGGCTTGTTCCTTGTTCTTATATATTCTCATATACATATAAACACATATTTTCTCATCTTATAACTTATATTACATATGAATGTAATCTTATGACTTATTATCAAATAACTTAGGTAACATTCTTGTATTGTTTCATAGATCATTATCACATAAATGCATATCACATAACATGTAATGCAAGCAAGACACATTCACATAGTATACAATCCTAATCATACCTCGACTCATGCTATCATATATTCATATAAATCACATACCTTTATTCACATAGATCATATGCACTTAACAACTAGACACATGCCTTTATTCATATACATCTACATCATAACACTACATGTTTATATCCCAATATCCATATATCTTACAATCAGAATTAGACTTATCACAAGTCTTAATTCCCTTACGTAATATCAATCATAAAACATGTACTCACCTGGGTCTCAATGGACACCATCAAGTTCTCGTTCTTTCTTACAAATCTTACTCTATCGACCTATCCGAACATTGCTTTCGATCAATGTCTATATATTCATGTATTGATACATATCAGTATTCCAATTGATATACTCTAATCTTTTATTTCTTAGACTAAAGGAAAGATCTATTTCTATTTTCCCTTTGAAGTGTATCGGTACACAATATAGTGTATCGGTACATTTCTTAACGAGTGTATCGATACACTACCTATGTATCGATTTACAAATTACATTCGAAAGTTTTTCATGTTCAAAGGGGTAGCGATACACTCCTTAATGTATCGGTACACTTTGAACATATTCCCAAATTTTATTCTTGATGTATCAGTACCTATTGAATGTGTACTGATACACACCAGCTCAGATATGAACTTTAAGCACAAAATTCACTTCATTTTATCTCAATTGTGTCATATTGCAACCCTTTTCATATCCTTAGCTTATATACACCTACTTAAACTAATTATTACTCATTTACCACCTCCTAAACCTCAAAATCCTATCATCCATATGAAATTCAAGAATTACACCAACTTTGCAACATGTTCTAAATCCAATTCTAACACTTCATATTCCTTAATTAGGTTAATGAAAAGTCAAATTCATCAATAAAACTTCAAAAACCTCTTTATATTAAAAATTCATTTCTTAACCCTTAATCAATTTTCTTTTCTAATTTTCGTTTCTTAATCTTTTAAGCTTATATAAGCTTTCTTTAAGCTTATATAACACTCAAAGAGTAAAACCCAACTCAAACATTCAAGAATTAACCATCAAAATTAAAACTCACCTTTGAGGCTTGAGCTTAAGCACACGGGAAGAAGGAAGGAAGAAGAAGAAGAAGAAGAAAAGTTCCAGATAACTCTTCAAGGCCCACATGCTTCATTCTTATTAAGGGGAAAATATCTTTTAAGCTTAAATTACCATAATGCCCCTCGCTCATTCCATAATTACAATTTAACCCGACAATGAAATATTCCTATTTCAATCTTTGAACTTTTCAATTTTCCTAGATTGATCCCTAAATTTCATATCACAATACACCTATCATTTTTCATATCCTTCATTCATATCCCTGATCATCAATCTTTATAACATTTTAATAACTTGATAGTCAACACTCCTTACAAAAATCTTAAACTTTGAAAAATCCTTGTTCGAATCACAATACACATATCATTTTTCATCATCTTAAACTTTTTATAAATCCATAACTTCTTTCAACTTACCTAACTGCACTCTTATCAATATACGTTACAATTCCCTTGTTTCAATTCATAAACTCTATCTCCATATATTTTATACACTTATCACTGATGCACTTATTCTTGAACTCTTCTACAAATACTCACCACACCCTTTGATCTTTTTAACGTTCTTATGGTGACACTTGTTCACCATATTCTATCTTATCCACGCACTAACAAAACTACTCCATATTGATTTTCTGAT